ATGCAGCGAGCGGAGCCGCATCGGTTCTCGGTAAGGAGCGCCGGACTGACCGGGTGCCCTCGAAACGGGCCGGGCGAGCAAGTGATGGAGCAGGCTCTGGCAACGGGAGGGGGGGGGCAACAAGCAGAGAAGGCGGCGCGTGGAAGAACACCACCAGGGGATATGCAGGTGCATGACAGTTGGAGATTGGGGAGGGGGACAGGAGGAAGATGAAAAGGAGGACGGGCCGTAGCCATTTCGTCTCAAGTTTGGACCATTTTGTCGCGTGGTATCGAGCTCGTAATTTCCGCTGCTGTGGGATGACCATCAAGGGGGCGCCCAAACGCACTTCCCATTTTGACCTCCTGCCTCAGCTGGGGGCATCCAACAAAGCTCCCGATCGCCAAGATCACGTGGCACTACCCGTGCGGGTTGACGGCGCGCACACGAAATAGAAAGAGAGAGTGAGAGAGAGAGTCGTCTGACCATCTTACGGGCGCTGAAATGATTATTGCTACTGTTGTCGCGGGCCTCTGCCTACATCCAGTCGCGTTGTTCCGCCTGTGTTGCTTGAACAAGGCAGCATGGGTCAACCCTGGGCGAGGGGATGGTGGCAAACATGTAGAAACAGGGGCCGCTACGGAAACGACAAAAGGATTGGTGAAGGCATGCGCTCGCATGGTGTAGCTTGACAGCTGTTTCGGCGCAGGGCCTTTCCCGGCCGCCACCGCTGCCCCGAGGACCCATGGATGAACATCACTGCCTACATCAGTTATGCACAAGTGGCAAGTATAAAAACGTATTGCTTCAACGCGTTTGCAAAGTCATCGCCAACGCGTGCGAGCAGGCACGCCAAGTACGGAAGGATCACATGCCAATCTCGAGGCTGCGCCACGAAACGGAACAGGAGAAAAGGAAACAGGAGCTGGATGAGCCCACCACGGCTAGAGACAATTTGCGGAGGAGGCTAGAACTGCAGCAGCAAAAAACTTGCAGGACCCCCCAGCCTCGAAACTCTACGTGCCACGACGCACGAATCCCAGTGAATACTTTCCAGGTTTTCGAGTTGAGGATGTCCGACAGGGTCTGGAGACCAAGTGCAGACAATGACAATTCGTGGGCTCGCTTCAGACCTCACAGCCATCAGCTTGCCAAGCCTCCCATATTCACCATGGAGGCTGATCTCGCAGAGGCGCGTGGGCAAGCGACTGGCATATCCGAGCGATTACACGCACACACACATGTGCATACCTGTGCACATCTACATATACGTGTAGGTAAACGTACGCACATATATATATATATATATATATATATATATATACAGAACACACACGAAAACACGTCATGTACATGCACTTGTACATCTACATCTACATCCACAAATTCATATCAGAATGAGGGGGGCGAACGGTCATTCACTGTTCCTGGGCGCGCGGCTAAAGTGAGATGTTGAGGTGCGGATTGGTGTTGTTGTTGTTGTTGTTGTTGTTGTTGTTGTTGTTGTTGTCGTCCCCCCGCGACACGGCCCGCGACGCACCCGCGACGCGTCCGCGACCCACCCGCGAACCACCCGCGACCCACCCCGCGACCTACCCGTGCCCCACCCGTGACCCACCCGCGACCCACCCGCGACGCATTCCGCGACCCGCCCGCGATCCACCCGCGACCCACCCCGCGACCTACCCGCGACCCGCCCGTGACCCACCCGCGACCCACCCGTGACGCACCCCGCAACCCGCCCGCGACCCACCCGCGTCCCACCCCGCGACCCACCCGCGACCCACCCCGCGATCTGACCGCGTCACCCCCGACCCACCCGCGACACGTTCGCAACCCACCCGCAACCCAGCCCGCCACCCACCCTGCGACCCACCCGCGACCCACCCGCGACCCGCCCGTCGACCCACTCACATTGGTTAAACGGCAACGGCAAGATCCGCGCCTGCGGCGGGCTCAAAGCATAATTTGAAAAATGTCGGCGCCTGCGGCGGGCTTCAGAGCCTCGCAGACTGCCGACGTCCTCGCCGTTCCCTCACTCTTGTCCGCAAGTGTGGGGGTGCTACGTATCCTTGCACACGCATCTATATATATATATATATATACACACACACACATCCTGGAAGCAGCACTGGCTGCCAGCAAAAAACACAAGTTCGCCCCGCGGGCCCTGATAGCGACCAGCCGCGGGCGCGGCAGGTCATCCATTCTGCCGCCCAGCGCAGCCGTGGGAATCAGCAGGAGAATGCGAACAAGGACGTCAGCGTCTGGCTGGAGTCCAAGAGTGGCGCCATGATGAGTGATGGGTTACCTAGTGCGCCGTCTCCCTCGGCGGCGGCGTCATCAGAGAAGGCTGGTTTTGCATGAGCAAAGCAGCTCCAGGCACACTCGCGTTGGAGCGGAGGCAGCCGCGCCAGGCCTTCCTGCGAAGACGGCGCAGAGCGGGCTGGAAATCACCCACTCAGGCGGATCGGCTGGAGAGAGGGCGCCGCGTCTTCGCGGGGGTCAGTCTCATGCGTCTGCCAGAGCAGTGGAGCGCGCGGCAGACGGGGTCGGGGGCCTTCCCTGCAAAAACCAACCTTCACTGGGCAATCGTTGGCGGCATATTCGGGGCGCGGTGGGCCCTGGGAGGCGCCGACAGCGCCGGCCTCCTTCCTTGGGCCGGCGCGCTATTCCACCAGCGCTTCAGTTAACAAGAGTACCTCGCAGGTGACATCCACATCGGCGATGTCACGGCCTGTTCCAATTCTGGAGGACCTTTCGAGTTCCCCAGAGTATGCCCCCACGTCTTCCCCCGCGGTGCCTGAAAGCACAATCAGAACGCTCGCTCAGCATGTCAGAGCGACCTCGCCCTGATCACTTTGAAACAGGTCAAGATGGATCAGTGGATCGCGAAAGAGCGAAGGGCTCGAGAACCAGGATCGATCGACACTGGGCTTCAACGATGCGGCATGGGAAAACAAAGCAGACGTTGCCCCCCGTCAACAAGCACCGATTGGAAGAGGGCATTTTAGCGCAGAACAGTTGCGCGACTCCAGAGAAGAATGGAGGGCGATCGGATGTGAGTGCGTCAAGTTGGATAACGGCAGCCCGTCATGCGGCACCTTCGTCTGCGCGAGGAAGCATTATGATGCGCGGGTGCCGTCTGGTCAGAGCATCGCTTGTACTTTTACCGCAGCAGTGGTCTTGGATTTGTAGCCTTCTATTCGCTCTTGGCATCGCTCGAACGTGTGCGTTTTTTCCTCGGCGAGGACTATCGAGGAGCATTCTTGATCACTTGGCGAACAAAAACACGCACGAAACCAAAAAAAACAGAGAATGGACGTCCGAGCGATGGCCAGCGTAATGCCCAGAAGACTCATCGGGCTTTACGGGGGCAAAGGGCACATTAACAGGTGGCCGAACAAGTTTGGCCCGACTTGTTCCACCATGGTCTGCGTCGTGCATTGGCGGGGGGGTTGGTGGGCCCTATTTCGCAGGCCTTGGACGCCCTTAGAGCGGCGGCATCTCCGACGCACGGCGCGCCAGGCGACGCGACCGCAATGGGCCCATCCGTTGCGCAGAGAAGCCTTGACCACGCCGCAGGCAGCGCGCGCGTTGACGTCGACGCGCAGTCCCTGCGTTCCAGCTCAGTTGGGGTTAGCGCAGGTTGCCTCGGATACGTTCGAGACCGTTCCCTCCGGGCACCAGAAAGCCCCCGCTGGGGGAGCCATTGGCGGCGCTCCCCCTGGCCCTAGACACTCGGATCTGGAAGAGAAGCTCAGAGCATTCTTGGAACCCCACCATGAGCAAGCTGGAGGAGGAGGAGGAGAGACAAGGCACGGCTAAGAGCTTGTGGACGCGACCCAGACCAAAGGTCTCACGCGGCCCCCCGGCGGCACCCCACTCAAGTTCAAGGGCGCCCCGCAATCCGATGGTTGGCCGCGAAAAGGAAGGCGGCGGCATTGCTGGGGGGAACTACTAAGCGGCACTTTCACGCCCGAAGAACTTCGGGCTCTTTTTCAGCGGCCTGCTTCGCAATCGGAGCACTGTGCTGCGCTCCTGCGACAGTGGAGCGAACTACTTGTCAAAGGATGACCTCTTCGCCGATTCTGGGGAGCTGGCCGCGCCATCTGGCGCCCTTTCCAGCGCGCATTGCCGAGTGCCGAGTTCGCGGGGCCGCGGGCCCGAGAGGGCCAACTGGAAAACCGAACTAGAGACCAGGGAATTCTGGAAAATTTGGTACGGCGAAGCCGTCAGCAATGGAGGAAGGCAATATTTCCATGCATCTGTGTTCAGGAGGGCCCGTTCACGAAGACGCAGCACCTGCAGCACGTCGTTTTTTCAGCGCCCCCCCCGCTCGGCTAGATAAGGAAGTTCCCATCTGCAAGTGAGCTTGGACTTGGACGGCCACGGATGCCCCGGCTGTTTTCGCGGACTTTCTTGTCCCTGAGCTACCAGCTTTTTGTTTTTGGGCCCCTTCCAGGGGAACGGATTCGACGTGTTCGCCCCGTGCTTCGTCGGGTTCGCCCGCTGCCCCGACGGCGTCCCACCGAGGCGCCCGTTGATGTCGGGCGAATCGGCCTGCTCCCTCCCACGGTGGCTGCACCAGCTCATCGATGCGATTCGCTCGGGGCCTCCGGCGGCCCTTTGCGCGCGCCGCGCGGAGGGCCGACAGGGGGCAGGAGGTCCGCCGGGCGCCGCCACGCTTTCGGAGCGGCCTCGCGGCGAGACCCGCGGAGGCCCCCTGGCAGAGCGCGGGGTGGCCGGACGGGCCGAGGCCTTGAGAGCCCCCCGCGGGCCAGGGCAGGAGCAGTGTGCGCACCGTCCGAGAGCAGTCGGTCGCAGCAGCGAAAACGTACAGTGAGGACGCGCGGTAAGGACGCAAGACCCTTGGAGGCCGAAGTTGAAGTTCTCTGGCCTCCGAAGATTGCTAGGGACGGGCCTCCGTAGCCATTTTGGCTCAAGGCTCTTTAGCTTCGTACAGCTTCGCATACGCGCCGATACCGAATAGCCTCTCATAGCTCCATCTGCAGCCAGACATGTTCCACGCTATGTTTGGAATACTGGCACATTTGTGCGCAGCGGGGCTAGTAGTTACCTGTGCTGAGCACGTGGACCTGCAGCTCATGCAGATGCACACGGCAGTTCCCTTGCATGGGATCCGGCAGGGATGTCATACTTCAACCCAGGGCGACGAGTGTTACGAGAAGGTGGAATGGGCGATGCGAACAGGCATCAAAAAACACCCAGAATGGTATCTCCCCCTGACGAGTAATTCCAGCTTCGAGGACTTCCAGCAGCACCTGCACACAGTGTTCAGGCTCTCTGACGTGTGTCCCAAGCCATGCGCAGCGGAGCAGTCAGAGTTGCGACAGCGACCGACAGAGTGCCGCACCAGTGTCGAGGGCGACGAGTGCTACGAGAAGGTGGAATGGGCGATGCGAACAGGCATCAAAAAACACCCAGAATGGTATCTCCCCCTGACGAGTAATTCCAGCTTCGAGGACTTCCAGCAGCACCTGCACACAGTGTTCAGGCTCTCTGACGTGTGTCCCAAGCCATGCGCAGCGGAGCAGTCAGAGGAGCGACAGCGACCGACAGAGTGCCGCACCAGTGTCGAGGGCGACGAGTGCTACCAGAAGGTGGAATGGGCGATGCGGACAGGCATCAAAAAACACCCAGAATGGTATCTCCCCCTGACGAGTAATTCCAGCTTCGAGGACTTCCAGCAGCACCTGCACACAGTGGACAGGCTCTCTAACGTGTGTCCCAAGCCTTGCTCTAGGCGGTCATCGGACCAGCTCCGGACAAGTTCTGGATCCCCGATGCCTACAGCTCCATATGTTGCAACTCCAATGCCTACAGCGCTTCATGTTGGAACTCCAATGCCAACAGAAATCCATGAGGATGACCTACTCCTATCGGTCTACCCTGGGTACGAGCAAACTGGTCGTAATTGTCAGTGTGGAAACCCGATCAAACAGTTGTCAGAAGAGTTCGCATCTCTTGAATTGTGTGCCGCGGAGTGCAATTTCTTCCCCCACTGCAAGTCAATCGGTCTTCATCCTTGGCAATCTATCTGGAGAGGCCAATGCGATCTTTACGATGCGGAGTGTGAGGAAACGAATGGGCATGACTCCAACACCACCTGTGCCAATCCAGTACCGCAAGGAGCCCTCAGTGTCAACTTTAATCGGATACCGACGCCCGCGCCCACGCCTGCACCTACTCTTGCACTCAATTCTTGCGATGTCACGGATGGATCGTTTATGAGTTCTTTCTACCCGTGTCAGTGCGGGTCTGAGGTGTGTGTAACAAACGAGGTCTGCTCCCGTGACAGGCGAGGCTTTTCATGCGCTCCTCCGGGCATTCTGAAAGTAGATTGGCCGTGCTTGACGACTTCGATCGGCAGCCCCTACTTCGTCTTTGCTGGAAGCAGCACAACAGGAGCGCCAGTGTACAGCAACACCGATGGAAACTACATATATTGGGATGTGTCGTGTGATGGCATCGATCGACCTTTGATATACCAGCAGCCACGATGGATTCTCGACTCAGACTCACCAAACATGACAGCGACCATGGATTTAGATTCTGACTCGGAGTGCACATATTTTGGGCATCACGCTAGTTCTGACTTCAATGGTGTCCCTATTGGGAGCACAACGTGGACGATAGTATGCGACGGTGAAGTTTCCAACATGACGGCGAACATCACTTACGAGACGTATCTTCCCACCCCATCGCCGACAATGGAACCTGGGGCACCGTGCACTTGTGACCAGGACGCATGTGGTATGTTTACCTATCTTGACTTAGATGGTGATGGTTGCCTAGTGGAGGCAGAAGTGGACAAAGATGATAATCTCAACGGACATTTTACCGAAATGGACGCGGACGGGGATGGCTGCGTTACCCAGGCAGAGTGCGGGGACTCGCCGTACTCGCATGACATGCCTAAGTTTCCAATTCAGGGCCCAGCTGAATGCAGCTACGGATATTATTTCATGGAAGACACCAGCGTCTGCCAGCAATGCCCCGCTGGTGCCACGCGGCGGCGCCGCTCGGAGGGCTGTAGCGACTGCCCAGCGGGCAAAGTGGACTTGGGCGACTTCGATAACTGCATCTCGGGAGTGTGGCTCACGGAACCACTCGCGATTGGGTCCGACGTAGTATTTGTCAACAAGGCCGAAGACGAGAGCGGGGTCTTGCTGCAGAAGGGCGATGGGATCACCATGTCGACGCGCAACCCTGGCCACTTCGAGAGACTGATTATCGTCGACAAGATAGGTTTCGATGATTCCCAAAGGTTGTCGCCATACCATGAGTCCCTGCTTCGGAAGAGTGGGCCTTTTTTCGTGCTGGACCACGGCGTGCACGCGGAGTTCAACAAGTACGACGCGATCGTTTCTGCCTGCACGCAGGTCAATGGGATCTCGCTTAGCGATCAGTACCCGTGCGGATGTGGCATCGAAATCTGCGATCTCGGGTACAGGTGTGACGAGCAGTGCAGTGGGGACAACACGGTTCTCGATTTCTATTCGGGCAGCGGCTACGGGAACGGCGGATGTTGCATCGGCCCCCCTGCTTCTCCTCTGCCCACCCCGGCCCCGACGGTGTCGGCCAAGGGTGACCCGCATTTGGTCAACCTTCTTGGCGAGCATTTCGACGTCAACCACGGCGGCGAGTTCACTCTGCTCCGGATCCCGCAGGCCGCCGAAAGGGCCGCCGAGGTGCAGCTTAAGGCAACGATCCGCCCCGAGCACGGGAAGCCATGCACCACGTACATCACCGCGGTTGAGTTCTCGGGCACATGGATGGGTGGGGCGGTCGTGCAGGTGCGCTCCTATCTCAGGTCGCACACCAAGAATGAAAGCGACGAGTTCTTGGGGCTCCGGGTGCTGGAGCCAGGCACGCCAGAAGATGTTCCATGGACGAGGCTTGCGGATTGGACCGATGGAAACATGGTTCTTTTCGAGCAGCAGGCAAGGAAAGGCGTCAGGGTGACAATGTCCAAGTCGCAGTGGCGCACCAAGAAGGGCGTAAAGGAAGGATTGCCGACCGTAGCTGGGCAGCTTCAGATCATGATGCAGAGCAAGCGGAGCAAAGATTCCGCGATGATCGTCGTCCGCCAAGACCTCCCCATGCAGGAGCACCTGAATTTGGCTGTGCGGCGCTTGAGCGCACTCGGTCGTGCAGACATTGGCGGCCTTCTTGGGTTCGATGCGCACGCCGAGTCGCTAGAGGATGTCACGCCAGAGTGCCAGCGTCACAGGGACGGGTTGGACGCGAAGAAAGGTCCCAACTCAACGCCAGGCTGGAAGGTTCGCTGGCAGAAGATCAAAGAGGAGCGCGCGAGCAATCGCGTACCAGGTGGGTCAATGAACGACAACGAAGCGGCCGCCAACCTCATTGATAAGATGCGAATGAGTGGGAAGGACATGATGTGCGTCTGCCCCATCGACGAGGAGGACGACTACACCGCGAACCTGATAGGCGGCGGACGCCAGGGTGTCCTTGCGAATTTTCAGACTGGCAGGTTTGCGGAGGCCACGTGGGATTGATGAGTGCTCGTCGAACCAGCCTGCGCGATCGCCAGGTTACGTCCGCGCAGCAGCCTTCTTTGGCCTGCCTACCGCGCCCGCAGGGCGGATGGGCTAGTCAAGCTGTCTTTTTGTATTCAGTCAAGCCTAGGTCTCTCAGAATATACTCGGACCCCATCTAGGAGGCCCGAGGGATCAGAGGCAACATTCCCCTTCGAGGGAGTGCCGTCTGCTCGTGACTAGGTTGCAGGTGCACTTGTCGAATCTCGGCATGCGCACTAAGTCGCAGGTGTCCTTGTACGTAGGCGCACTATGTTTTTGTGTCCTTTAGCCTTTATCTCTGGTCTTGGCTGGAAGGCGTCTTGGTTATGTAATCCATTTTGATGCAATTGAATCACTCATAATACAAGCAGCGCGTCGACTGGACGTATCTGTTTCCAGACTTATGCGGTATTGAGCGCCTTTGCGCCGCCCAAAAAAAAAGATTGCTAGGGACGGGCCGCAGAGGCTGAGGCAGGCAAGGACCCAAGGGTACCCTTGAAAGAGTCGTTTGTCCTTACTATGCGCGTTGACTGTGGCAGGAAGAGCTCCTGGGGAGAGCGTTTCGTTCGCCGGCTGCCTGCGGGACCTCGTGCAGTTCGATCGGCACGCAGGCCACCAGGAGCTCGTCAGCCAAGGCATCTCATGCCAGCGCTCCCTTGGCACGTGTTCTCGCACGCGGCGCCCACTTGCAGCTGGGGGCGCTGCGTGTTGCTTGACGGGTCTCACTCTCAGGTGCTGCACCCCATGCAGGGGATCGTTTCCGACATCACCTCGGCCGCATATGAAGCGGAAGCACTCCTCAAAGACACCATCTTTCAGGGGAGGAAGGTGCCAGGTACAGGACAAGGGATGCATGTTGACGATGTGTCGCAGCACAGATGGCATCTCAGTCCAACCGGGTGCTGAGTGCAGCTCAAGGCCCCGATAACAGCGATTGCCCAAGAAGTCTCCACAACTTTGCGTGCCCTGCTTGCGGAGCGGAAACTGTTCCCTGCTGCAAATCAAAGTGAGTTTTTTCAGGAGGGTCAACGCTGAGTTCGTTTTTTGGGGTTGGGGCTGCGTCAAGGGCCCCAGCGAACCTCGGCGTGGCTTTCACGGCACGCAGGCATCAACAATGCGGCTAGGTCGAGCGATCAAACGTAAACGGGCAAAACCAAAAAAAAAAAATAATCGAAACGAACGTCTTGCATCCCTCAAGACCCCACGAATACCGAGGCCAGGTCGTCCCAAAGCGGGGCGTTGTCCACGGTGTCGTAGGGGGTGGAACTTCAAGGGGTTGGTTGCTCCTCCGGAGATATTACTCATACGACGGTTTGCCGCCAGAGCCGCAGCTGTTTCAAAGAAACGGTGCGTCTTGGAGCTTCATCGGGCCATCCACAAGTACCGCGGGGACCCTCTGTACCCTGCTGCAGGCCCGCTCAAGAGGTGCGCCTGGGAGTGGTGGCGCACGAGCGAGCTGAGGCCCTTGAGCTGCTCTGGGCCATCTTGAGCCGTTGTGTTGTCGTCTTGACTGTCTTGGAAGCCGTCTTGGAGGTCATCTTGGCCGTTTGGAGGCCGAAAGGACCGCCAGGGGCGGTTCTCAAAGGGTGCGCGCGCGTCGAAGGGGGGGGATGCCTTTTTAAATCTTACAAAGCCTCCCAGACCACAGACGAGCAGTCTAACACGCCCACTCCGTGCAAGCAGGGCGGTGGATTTTTTGTCGCATTGCCACAGCAGCCTGGCTGTTCCAGATTTTGCATGTCGCGGATGTACCCGGATCTTCGAAATCGTGATAGACACATTCTCTTGGACCAGCATTTCATCCCGAGTCTTTTTTGATGGCCTGGGGGCCCAGCGAGGAACCTTTGGGGCCGAAAAAGACCAAAAGTTGTCTGTCGTGCTTCTGTTGCTTTCTGCGCGAGGAGGTCTGGGCACGTCATGGCCACAGGATCATCACTGTCTTCAGCCATCGGGTGCCCTTGGCTTGTGGGAGCGCCACGGGACTCTGGCGGGCATTCGCCGCGGGACTTCGCACGGAAGGGTGTGCAATGGATTTGTTCGGACCCCCTCTCCTTTTCACCGTCATCGTCAGTTCGCTCTCCCGTTCCTTCTCGTCTTGCCCCATTCGTTGCTCCCCCATCCGCCCTCCTGATGCTGCTGCTGTTGTCGCTCGTCCTCCCCGCGCGCCGTGCGTCGGCGCCGCTTCTGCTGCCAAGGACGCCGATAGGGGCGACAAGCGCAGCCGCAGCATCAAGCGCAGCCGCAGCATCAAGCGCAGCCGCAGCATCAAGCGCAGCCGCAGCATCAAGCGCAGCCGCAGCATCCCGCGGGACATCCGGCGGCGCTCCCGCGAGAGATCCGCGAGGCCGCCGCCCCGCGCGTGGCGGCCGGGGGAGGCCTGGCGGGGGAGGCGCACACACGGCGGGCTCGTGCCACGCCTCCTCGCGGAGGCGCGAGCGCGAAGCAGGGTCCGCGGCTGCGCGGCGGGTCCCCCGCGGCCGTGCGAGGGGGCCCCGTCGCCGGGATCGGGCGGCGCTGGTCGGGGGGGGCCGTCCGCGGGCGGAGAGGGCCATGCACAGGCACCGATCTCGGCAGGGCCCATCCCTGACCCAGGATCGGTGGCTCTGCCTCCCCGACCAGGGCAGGAGGTAGTAGCTGCACCGATCGTGGGCTCAGGAGGGGCCTGGCCAGAGTCGATGTATGTGCAGAGTTCTCTTTCCTCTAGCAGCTTCCCCGATCCGTGAATCTGGCGGCCGCGCACCCGGCCCACGGATCCACGATTCGTGTTGGCGCGTGGCTTCCAGCCCCTGGACTCCTCAGCCAACGGTTCCTTCTCCAGCGCCCTCACCGCAGCCGTCGGAGGAGGCCGCGACCGCTCGAGGCCGGGAACGATCCGCGCGGTGGCAGGAAGAGAAACCGTCGCGCCGACGTCGTCGCCCCACGAGCCCGCCTCAGAGGCAGCGATAGGAGGGGGGTAGGCTGAAGTCGGGCACGTCCCTCTACAGGGATACCATTCCAAAAAAGTTTGTGAATCGTCTGGGGACGATGTTCAATTAAGTTATTGCTTGACTTCTTTTGATTGGTTGTGCATCGGTTTCTTTCTCTCGCTCCAGACCCGCCTGCAGGAGGGCGTGCCCGACCCGAAAAGGCAGGCTCGCGGAGGAACTTCACGCCTCGACCCCCCAGTCGCCCCCTCCTCGCCCCTGAGATTCCGACGGCCCCACCCCGCCCGGGAACCGGGGGGACATCGCCATCGGGGGCCCACTGCCAGCCCGTCGGCGATGCACCGCTGATTCCAGGTCGACGTTCCTCAGGAGGGAACAAAAACACACACAGACACAATGAATCGTCGATCCCCCAGAAAAGATAGGAGAATATGGGAAGCGGGGGGGAGGACAAAAACCCAGAAAGCATGGGGAAATATGGGGACTCCTTTTCTTTGTGTGTATTTATCTGTGTGTCCCAGGGCCCCATTCAGTTCCCCCCCCGGAGCCAGTCCCCCCCTGGTTTCTTGAGGCCATCACTCGGGCCTCGCATCCGGCGGCCCTGCGGCACGCTCCGGGCACCCCCATGGAGCGCTCTCGGCGAGGAGCAGCTGCTGGAGCACGCCCCGGGGCTGGAAAAGGCCGCCGAGAACCGACGAGAACGGCCGAAAGCCTCGACGCCCGAACCTGTCGTTCAGGAGGGAAAAAAACAAACAGACACAAGTAATCGTCGATTCCCAAGAAAATATGCGAAAGTCTGGGAAATGGGGGGGGAGACAAAAACCCAGAAAATATGGGGAAATGTCGGGAATCCTTTTATTTGTGTGTATTGATGTGTGTGTGTGTGTGTGTGTGTGTGTGTGTGTGTGTGTGTGTGTGTGTGTGTGTGTGTGTGTGTGTGTGTGTGTGTGTGTGTGTGTGTGTGTGTGTGTGTGTGTGTGTGTGTGTGTGTGTGTGTGTGTGTGTGTGTGTGTGTGTGTGTGTGTGTGTGTGTGTGTGTGTGTGTGTGTGTGTGTGTGTGTGTGTGTGTGTGTGTGTGTGTGTGTGTGTGTGTGTGTGTGTGTGTGTGTGTGTGTGTGTGTGTGTGTGTGTGTGTGTGTGTGTGTGTGTGTGTGTGTGTGTGTGTGTGTGTGTGTGTGTGTGTGTGTGTGTGTGTGTGTGTGTGTGTGTGTGTGTGTGTGTGTGTGTGTGTGTGTGTGTGTGTGTGTGTGTGTGTGTGTGTGTGTGTGTCTCAGGGACCCTTCAGTTGCCCCCTGGCGTTGCCCCGCACCCCCTGGCATGCCTCCCTGCTGCGCCCGCGGCGCGGCAGGCCCGCGGCGAGCGGCTGGAAGCACGCGTCGGAGGCCTGGAGGTTGACACCAACATCAAGATCGGCGGTGCGCTTTCACCGAGGGAAGGTGCTCCCGATCTCGGTGGCGGTGCTAATGCTCGGGATCTCGTTAGAAGTGGCCGAGCTGTTACCACCAACGCCCAAATCTGGGGTCCTCCTACCCCTGTGGATGTAACCTCCTGTGTCGGTGTTGGTGCCCTTTTCCAGGCCTCCAACCACAGACATCCGGCTCCTCCAATTTTTTTTGATGCGTGGGCCCCGGAGGTCCCGACCACTTCCCCGGGGGCTGGTTTTTCGTCCTGACTAGTTTTTTAACGCTCCCGTGGCCCCGCAGGGGCCCCCAGAGGCCAAAAATGGTGAAAAAAGCCTGCTCGATTTTTTTTGGAGCGTCGGATGAAGTCGGGGCTGCCCCTCTACAGGAGGAATATTCAAACATGCGTTCTTTGCTTGAAAAGGGTATCTTTTTCAAACATCGATTTTCTATGTTTGGGCATCTGTTTGCGACTCTTGTCGCCCCAAAATCCCATGTATGGAGACATGCCCGACCTAAGCGTCGGATCTCTGGGAACGCGAGCGGCCGCGCGTCGCCGGCCGGTGCCCGGCCCCGGGGGGGGGGCCTCATGGGGGCCCCTCGCCGGGCCTCGGGAGCGTCAGAAAACGAGTGAGGACGAGAAACCGACCCTGAGGAAGTGGTCGGGACCTCCACCCTCCTCCATCCTCGCCCTCCACCCTCCTCCTCTTCCTCCTCCTCCTCCTCCATCCTCCTCCTCCTCCTCCTTCTCCTCCTCCTCCTCCTCCTCCTCCTCCTCCTCCTCCTCCCTCCTCTCCTCCTCCTCCTCCTCCTCCTCCTCCTCCTCCTCCTCCTCCTCCTCCTGTCCCTGAGCTGCGCACATCTCGGGCTGGACGAAAGGGGGGGATTGGGAAAGGGGGGGGTACGACATTTGCTGCATGCAGCTGGTTTCGGCCCCACCGAGGGGCCCGGTCCTCGACACATGGCCGCCTCCGGCGCCGGGAGGCGCCAGGAAAATCGGCTGCGCGAGCTGATTCTCAACCCCCCCCTTTGCTATCCCCCCCTCTCGCCCGGCCCGAACCTCCGGGACCCACGCATCCAAAAAAAATTGAGCAGCCGGATGTCTGGGTCAGCGGGGACAGGCTAAGCGGCTAATTAGCTGCTCCGACGTTTTCGTCGGTGTTCGGCGGCTCGCCAGCCTCTCCTGAGATGCTGGCGAGCCTCTCCTGAGATCTTCTTTCGAGCCCCGGGGCCCTCACCGATCCATCTGGCTCAGAAAATGGCGCAGAGAGATGAGGTCCAGGGCTCGGGGCGTAATTTGCTCCGACGTTGCCTTGGCATCGCTCGGACGTGTGCGTTTTTCCTTCGGCGAGAACCATCGAGGAGCGTCCTTGATCATTTGGCGAAAAAAACACGCACGAAACCTAAATAAACACAGGGAATGGACATCCGAGCGATGGCGAGTTGCAGTTTTTTTTCGCGGCGTCGGAACTCAGGGTCGGGGCACCATCCATCGGCTGCGCCTCGCCGAGAGCGCTCCAGAGGGGGTGCCCGGATCGTGCGGAACCCTGGAAGACACATCTAAAAATCCATGTTGGTTGCTCATTTCCCCAACAGCAGCTGCATCAGAAAGGATGGCATGGTATATAAAAGTCCTCCCTGAATCAGATGTGTTCTACAGCGTTTTACAGAAAATTAGATACGAACCGGTATCGTTCAAGAATAGATGCGTTTAGCTACGATTTCTCATTTTTTTAGGAGGAGGAGGAGGAGGAGAAGGCGGAGGAGGAGGAGGAGGGGATGGCGAACATGCTGTCAGAGCCCCAAGCTATCAGGGCAGGGGGGGGGGTCGGGGATGGCGCCTGATGCGTGCCTCCCGCTGTCGCGCCGGGTCCATGCCCTGGATGGCACTCGTCTCGACCACTTTCCCGGATTACCGTCTGCCCCATTTCAATCTGAATCGGGCGCGTCCCTCTACAAGAGGAATATTCAAACATAGTCCCAAAATAGTATGGGGACGATTGTTGTACTAGGGGGGTATGTTTTGTTTGTTTTTTATTTTCCGTCCAAAATCCGCCTGCAGGGGGACATGCCCGACCTAAGGTTTTTCCAGATGAAGCGGTTCCGTATTGCATTCGGGGACGCCAGTGCTCTACCTTGACCAGGTCTATCCCGAGTAAGTCGAGTGCCCACTGTAGGCGCGGATGTCCAGTACCGGTCATTGCTTCATCAATTCTTGTCATCGGTTTGTTTCCGGTTGTGAGTTGTTGATCCATCCATCCTTCTATCCAGCAGTGTTCCCGCCCATCTTGCCAGTTGCCAATCTTTGCCAAATGTGGGAGATGAGTCCATCCGAGCCCCCTCCTTTCACCTTGCTTCGATTTGTCTGACCCTCGAGTCCACTTGCGCTTCAGGAGATTTGTTGGTACGCACTGGTACTTGGACGATTTCATCTTCCGGGCCCTGCGATCCACATGTGGCGATCCAGTCGGCCTGCGTAAAGTAGGGTCGCGAAGCACGCGCGCTTGACATGCTCTGGGTGGCTCATGGAGCTTCCTGTTTGTAAACGGGCCCTGTTACGTCGCTGGCGCTAGGGCCGTCCCCGTGCGAATTGAGCAACGCAGTGCGCGGTACAGTCGACCCGCAGAGTAAGGATAGGCATCCCTCTCAAGGGTATCCTTGCATCCTTGCCTCCTGGGTCCATCCTTGAACACTTTCGTTGGCCGCGCCCCGCTCGAAACGCGTCGAAATGGGCGTCCAAGGCCCCTGCATCCTTATCGCGCATCCTTACTCTGCGGGTTGACTGCACTGCTGTGTAACTGTTGGCGCAGCGACGCCCTGCACCGCTCGGCCGGCGCGAGCCTACGAGGATGAGCTCGACGACGCGCGCTGCCCCGCCAGCTCTGCGCTCCGCCTCCTTCACGCCTCCCTGGCCAGCAGGTCCCCGCCACGGCCGGCAAGCACTCGGTCGGAAGCTTCCTCGGGAGCCCTGCGACGGGGGTCGATGCAAACCACCGGCGTCCTCGAGGGCGCGAAGTTGTTCGCGCTTCGCGCTTCGTGGTTCGGCTCCGATTCCTCCTCATCCTCCTCTTCTCCCCTGGGAGGCGGCGCGAGACCGCGAACTTATTCGCACTTCGCGCTTCGCGCAGCGCGAAGCGCGAAGTTGGGAGCCCTTGATGCAAACGGGGGTCAGCCAGAGCGCCTGATATTGCAGGATCCTGCAGAGCCAGGGTCGCATCGACCCGAGCTTGTGAGCAGGATCCTGTAGGATCTTGCAGGATCCTTCGCATTGACCTGGGCTTGGGCGCAGGATGTTGCAGGATCTTGCAGGATTCTGCAAGGCCTGACTGACCCGGGTCTGGATTGACCCGGGTCAGAAGATGCCCGAAATTTCGAGCTCCGGCGCCACAAGTTGCGAGGATGCTGCAGGCGAAACGAGACTCCGAGCCCGCCCTCGCGACGCGTCTGGCGGCGCGACAGGGAGGAGTTGTCCATGAGGAATGGGGGGAGGAGGATGAGACGGACGAGGGGAGGAGGAGGAAGAGGAGGAGGAGGAGGAGGAGGGGGAGGAGGAGGTCTCCACATTGTGCTCGGAGGCTCTCGCGGGAGGGGCAGGGGGAGCCCCGGGTTGAGGCATGAGACGGAGGAGGAGGAGGAGGAGGAGGAGGAGGAGGCGGAGGCGGAGGAGGAGGAGGAGGAGGCGGAGGAGGAGGAGGAGGAGGAGGAGGAGGTGGAGGAGGAGGAGGAGGGAGGGACGAGGGAGGAGGGAGGTGGTGGCGCAGTGGCGCAGGGGGAGGAGGATGCACGCCAACCAGCCTCCTTTGCCCTTCCTGCTCTGCTGCGCCCGTCCGACTTGAGCCAGTTGTCGGCCTCCTGGGCCCGAGTCGGCATCGTCGCGCGACGTGTGCTCTCATCGACGCTGCATTCCCAGGACTGGAGCCCGCGCAACGACAGGAACGCACACCGCGCCCCCATGCCAGGTGGTCTCCGCGCCCTCTGAGCTTCCGCACCGCAGGCCGATCTGAGCTTCCGCCCCGCAGACCCTGTCGGTCGGGAACGCACACCGACGCACACCGCGCCCTCTGAGCTTCCGCCCCCGAGAGAGCACGCGCTGCGGGGCCGCCTGCTCTCCCGGCTTCGGGTGTCGGCCTCGCCCCGCGAGTCGTCTTCGAGGCAGGGGCGGCGGCGAGCGGAGGGGGGGGAAGCAGGGAGGAGAGGGCCTTCTCGGAGGGCGGGGCTCTCAGAGATCCCCGAGCTGCCTTCGTTCGGAGCCTCACCCCCTGTTCCTCGTCTTCGAGGCAGGGCGGCGGCGAGCGAAGGGGGGGGAAGCAAGGAGCAGAAGGCCCTCTCGGAGGGCGGCGGGGCTTCTCAGAAGCCCTCGCGCTCTCGGGGAAGTGTGCTGTGTCTTCTGGGCAGGACCACGTGGAACACACTTTTCAGAAGGCCCGGAGACTTCCGAGCCTTCTGAGAAGGCCCGCCCCTTCTCACTCCCCCCCCTCGCTCGCCGCCGAGTCCTGGAGGCCCCCTTGGCGCATCGGGAGCTACCAGAGAGCCATCTTGAACCCAAAAGGACCGCCTGCCTGACCATCCTCACCCAAGTCCAGACCCACTGTGGTTGTGGGGGGAGCGGCAAGCCCCTCCCTGGATGGGGGAAGACGGGGTCCTGTAAGAGGGAAGAGAAGAACCGTCGCCGAAAAGAGCGGCTCCCCAGGCGCGACAGAAGGGAAGAGGAGCCGGCCCCACCGCCGCCGCGCGGCGCCCGCCGCGCCGTTGCGGAGACTTCTCTGCACGAGCCCCACCCCTCGTGGCGGGAGTGGGAGGAGGCGGGCACCAGGGAGGGGTCCTCCTCCCAGGATGGGGGAGGGATCACCACCCATCAGACCACCCCAACCCAACCCGAAGGCCCCAATGTTTGTGCTCTCCATTATTCCTAGTTGAGGGTGGGGGGGGCGTCGGGGAACATTGAAAGAACACGCGTGGAAAGCGTACCCCCCCCACCAACCCGAAATTTGGGTCTTCGGTTGGGATGGGGTGGTCTGGTAGGCAGTCAAGGGAGATGGAGAGAGGGCGCCCTTCCTCTTGCAGCTGCTGCTCCTCTTGAAGCTGCTGCTGCTGCTGCTGCTGCTGCAGCTGCTGCTGCTGCTGCTGCTGCTGCTGCTGCTGCTGCTGCTGCTGCTGCTGCTGCTGCTGCTTCTCTTCGTCTCCCCCGCGACGTCGATTTGGTGCCAACCTGTTGGATAGGCCTCGTGGCCGGTGCCGCCGACCCTGGAAGACGGCCCTCACGATGCAGGAGGTGTTCGGAGGTGTGCGGAAGGCTGCAAGGCTGCCAGGAGGTTCCCGAGCGTGCTACTAGAGGGCTTCGTGATACCAAAAGCCCTCAAAAGGGAATCAAACGAGGAGGAGGAGGAATAGGAGGAGAGGAACGAGGAGGAGACCAAGGAGGAAGGAGGAGGAGGAGGAGGAAGAGATTATTGGGGGCCTGTGGGTTCTGCACGTCTCTGAGGGCTCATGGCTGCATCATGAGGCTACGTCTGACCTGATTGGAGAAATCGTGCTGCCGTCTCCGGCGTCCTCGGATCATCCTTGCCTGCTCTGAGGTCATCGTGGACTTGTCTCGGTTGTAAGACAACGCCATCTTGCCCATTTTGGACGTCACTTGGCTGCCTCTTGGAAGCAGTGTTGGCCGTGTCGGAGCGTATCCTGGGCCAGGCCAGCCGTCATGGAGGCCACTTTGAGTCGCCTGCGGGCTGTATGGGGGCACTCTCGTAGCTTCTTGGGTTGACTGGGCGTTGCAGTGGAAGCTCTCTGGCTTCTGTGAGGCGTCGGGAGCCGGAAAGTACGGAAAGGGCCAGAACGCAACCATATTTGGACGGCATGGTGAAGATCATTGATTGGCGGCATTTTGGGAGCCTTTCGGGCCCCTTCGGGGCGTCGTGGGGCTTCCTCGGGGCTTCCTGGGGGCATCTTGGAGCTTTGTGGGAGCCTCTCGTTTCTTGGGGCCTCCTGGGGGCGCCCGTCTTGGGGAGGTAGTGTCGAGTCGACATGTCGGTTCGCGTTTCGCGTTCATGTTCTGGGTTTTTCTGGCGGCGTTTTTGGAGCCCTTTTCGGGCCGTCTTGGATGGAGGCTGCTTGGGCCACGCTGAGTTCTAAAACAACAGTCTCGGCGCCTTTGGAGGGCCTCGTAGGAAGTTTTGGGCCAATATCTGTTGCCTCGTCAGCCAGCAGTATTGGAGCGTCGGGAAGCCGAAATGGGAGAAAAGCGAAACTCGTTCCAAAACTGATGGGAATTCAATGCATTGTGCCTCATGGGGCCCTGGTGGGAGTGTTTTGAAGACCCTCCTGGAAAGTATTGGACGCTTTTGGGGCCGTCTGGAGGCCACCGTGGGCGGCTTGGAGCGGTCCTTGGGCGAGGCGAGTCCAGGCTCCCTTGGGCTCCCCGTGGGTTATCTTGGAAGTGAAGTGTCGAAGGCGCCCCCCGAAACGGAGCGGGGGGAGCGCATCCTGACCTAGGACCCCTCTCGGGAACACCCCCCCCAGGTCCGGAGGGTTCCAAAGAGGGTTTTTGGGGGAGGGTTTTTTTCCAGAGAGCCCCCCAGGGGCCTCGGAACCTCGTCAGAATAGGGGGTGCGAAGCCCCTGGGGGACCCCTCCTGGAAAACCCCCTCCCCAACAAAAAAAAACCCTTTGGAACCCTCCGGCAGGTGGGGAAGGGATCAGAGACAAGTGGCTTCCGTTCGATCCGCTTACGGCTTTAGTTCGAGCTGGCGAGCTTGGCGCGCCACGTAGGGCCTCGGGAGAGACTTCTCTGGGGAACAGCCAGGGATCGTCTCCGGGGAGGTCGAACGAGTGAATGAACGAGGAGGAGGAGGAGGAGGAGGAGGAGGAGGAGGAGGAGGAGGAGGAGGAGGAGGAGGGAAGCCGGATGAACGATCGTCTCTGGGGAACATCCGGGGACGACGGGCCCAGAACACTCCCCCTCACACACGCCGACAGGGTCGGCAGATGTTCGCGCCGGCGGAAGTTTCATTGGCGAGTGCCTCTCCCTTCGCCTCCTGGTCCTTCCCCTCCATCCTTCGTGGCGCCTTGTTTTTGTTCGATGTGTTTTGAAGGGCCCTGGTGCGAGCAGAGCTGGCAATCCCCAGGCAGCTGCGCGCGCGCTGACACGGCGAATACATGCAGTCACGCGTCGAGGGCAGTCATCGCTGCACTCCTCCTCCTCCTCCTCCTCCTGCTCCTGCTCCTCCTCCTCCTCCTCCTCCTGCTCCTCCTGCTCCTCCTCCACCTCTTCCTCCTCCTCCTCCTCCTCCTCCTCCTCCTCCTCCTCCTCCTATGTCCTCCTCGTCCTCCTGCTCCTCCTGCTCCTCCTCCACCTCTTCCTCCTCCTCCTTCTCCTCCTCCTCCTCCTCATCCTCCTCCTCCTCCTCCTCCTCCTCCTCCTCTCCTGCAAAAAGGGGGAGAGAAGAGAGAGAGAGAACAAAAGAGAGAGAGAGAGAGAAAGAGAGAGACAGACACACAGACACCAAAAAGAGAGTGAGAGAGAGAGAGAGAGACACGCAGGAAGAGAAAGAGAGAGAGAGAGAGAGAACGATGTAAAAGAGAGAGAGAGAGAGAGAGAGCGGAAACCTGGCAGGGAGGGGGAGCATACCGCCCCCTCGCCCTTCGGGCAGCCGGCCCGGCGGGCAGTCCCTCGCAGCAGCTTTGTGCGGGGGCCAGCTGCCCGGTGCGGGGCGGAGCCCGGCGCGCGCGCGCGCCCCGCGAGGAGCCCGGCAGAAGAGCCGCGGACAGCAAGGGCGAGCTCTGGACCTTCCGGGCACGGGGCGAGGAGGGGACGGGAGGAGGACAGGGGGGATGAAGGCTGATAAAGAAGGGGGAGGAGGGCGGGGAAGAGGAGAAGGGGGCGAGGAGGAGGAGGCGGGGGCATTAGAGAGAGGGAGCTCCCCTTCGGCTGCCGGGTCCTGGAGGTCGCCTACCCTGTCGTCGCGAGGCTGGAGGCGGTCAGAGGGGGCGAGCGCACGCGCGCGCGCGCGTGGCACAGATGTTAGTTTGTTTTTGCAGGAGGGGGATTGCCGTCGGGCCCAAACGGCACAGCCGAACGCCCAGTACGGCGCGCGCAAGTACGCCCTGGCAAGTCCGCCATGCAATGGGCACGCGTGCTCAAACGGGTAAGAGGCACAAGCTGGGACCGCCCCCTGGCCCCCCATTCCCGGCGAGCCCCCAGCATCGCCGGCACCGCCGTGCCGTATAGGGGAGAAACCAAGCATGGGAAGCACCACCCCCGCAAGGGAGACGAGGCCCCCAAGCCTACGCCCCAGCGCTTCCCCGTCCCCGCCCCGCACGCGCAGGTCAGTAGGGGCGAAGGGGGCGCCCGCGCGCGGCACAGTGCTCCACCAACCCACCAGCAGCACGGACGCACGGCGCCAAGGTTGCGCCGCGTGGCCGCGGTGGCGAGGACGTTTGAAAATTGCCGTGGCCTGGCGGCGGAAGGAGGAGGAGGAGCAAGAAGAGGAGGTGGAGGAGGAGGGAGGAGGAGGAGGAGGAGGAGGAGGAGGATGGGGGGGGGGAGGAGGGGGAGGGGTGGAGGACAAGCTAGGTGCGCTCGCGTCATATCTGACATCCTACCCCTCCCTCCCATCCCTTACCATGGCGCAGATCCCCTCTCTACTCGCACAGTCGGATGTCGAGCAGGGCAATGATCCCGAAAGGGTACGCGATGCATTGTTGAGCACGGCATGGCATGGCGTAGAAGAGCACCGCAAAGCGTAGTATCAACCTAGCATTGCATCGCATGCCGTGGCATGGCACGGGAAATGACGCCAGCGCTGCAGCGGGAGCACGAGTCGAAACGAGCGGAAGCGCGGAAATAAGGCCAGCGCTGCAGCGGGAGCACGATTAGGAACGAGCGGAAGCACGGAAATGAGGCCAGCGCTGCAGCGGGAGCACGATTCGGAACGAGCGGGGCCCGAAAATGGGGCCCGCGCCTCAGCGAGAGCAGCATTTTGAAAAAAATGCAAGCGAAAACCCCAATGGAGCCACGAAGCGTGTCAGGGGTGTGCCAAAATGGGTGCGGTGGCCGTATGCGAACGCTGGCATTTGGGCCTGCGGTGGGGCTCCTTGTGGGGCAATGAAACGTGTGAGGGGTGTGCCAAACTGGGTGCGGTGGCCACATGCGAACGCTGGCATTTGCGCCTTCGGTGGGGCTCCCTCTGGCGCCACGAATCGTGTGAAGGGTGCGCCAGAGTGGGTGCTGTGGCCGCATGCGAAAGCTGGCATTTGGGCCTGCGGTGGGGCTCCTTGTGGGGCAATGAAACGTGTGAGGGGTGTGCCAAACAGGGTGCGGTGGCCACATGCGAACGCTGGCATTTGCGCCTTCGGTGGGGCTCCCTCTGGTGCCACGAATCGTGTGATGGGTGCGCCAGAGTGGGCGCTGTGGCCGCATGCGAACGCCGGCATTTGGGCCTGCGGTGGGGCTCCTTGTGGGGCAATGAAACGTGTGAGGGGTGTGCCGGAACGGATGCGGTGGCCGCATGCGATCGCTGGCATTCGGGCCTTCGGTGGGGCTCCCTATGGGGCCACGAAACGTGTGATAGGTGTGCCAGAATGGGTGCTGTGGCCGCATGCGAACACCGGCATTTGGGCCTTCGATAGGGCTCCTTATGTAGCCACGAAGCGTGCGAGGGGTGTGCCAAAATGGGTGCGGTGTCCGCATGCGCACACTGGCATGTGGACCTTCAGTGGGCTCCCGATGGAGCCACGAAGCGTGTCTGGGGTCTGCCAAAACGGGTGCTGTGGCCGCACGCGAACGCTGACACTCGGGCCTTCGGTGGGGCTCCCAATGGAGCCACGAAGCGTGTCAGGGGGGTGCCAAACTGGGTGCGGTGGCCGCATGCGAACGCTGGCATTTGGGCCTTCGGTGGGGCTCCGTGTGGGGCAATGAAGCGTTTGAGGGGTGTGCCACACTGGGTGCGGTGGCCACATGCGAACGCTGGCATTTGCGCCTTCGGTGTGGCTCCATATGGGGCCACGAAGCGTGTGATAGGTGTGCCAAAATGAGTGCTGTGGCCACATGCGAACACCGGCATTTGGGCCTTCGATAGGGCTCCTTATGTAGCCACGAAACGTACGAGGGGTGTGCCAAAATGGGTGCGGTGGCCGCATGCGAACGCTGGCATGTGGACCTTCGGTGGGGCTCCCGATGGAGCCACGAAGCGTGTCTGGGGTCTGCCAAAATGGGTGCTGTGGCCGCATGCGAACGCTGGCATTTGGGCCTGCGGTGGGGCTCCTTGTGAGGCAATGAAAGTGGTGAGGGGTGTGCCAAACTGGGTGCGGTGGCCGCATGCGAACGCTGGCATTTGGGCCTTCGGTGGGGCTCCGTGTGGGGCAATGAAACGTATGAGGGGTGTGCCAATTTGGGTGCGGTGGCCACATGCGAACACTGGCATGTGGACCTTCAGTGGGCTCCCGATGGAGCCACGAAGCGTGTGATAGGTGTGCCTGAATGGGTGCTTTGGCCGCATGCGAACACCGGCATTTGGGCCTTCGATAGGGCTCCTTATGTAGCCACGAAGCGTACGAGGGGTGTGCCAAAATGGGTGCGGTGGCCGCATGCGAACGCTGGCATGTGGACCTTCGGTGGGGCTCCCGATGGAGCCACGAAGCGTGTCTGGGGTCTGCCAAAATGGGTGCTGTGGCCGCATGCGAACGCTGGCATTTGGGCCTGCGGTGGGGCTCCTTGTGAGGCAATGAAAGTGGTGAGGGGTGTGCCAAACTGGGTGCGGTGGCCGCATGCGAACGCTGGCAATTGGGCCTTCGGTGGGGCTCCGTGTGGGGGGCAATGAAACGTGTGAGGGGTGTGCCAATTTGGGTGCGGTGGCCACATGCGAACGCTGGCATGTGGGCCTTCAGTGGGCTCCCGATGGAGCCACGAAGCGTGTGATAGGTGTGCCTGAATGGGTGCTTTGGCCGCATGCGAACACCGGCATTTGGGCCTTCGATAGGGCTCCTTATGTAGCCACGAAGCGTGCGAGGGGTGTGCCCAAATGGATGACTGGTTCGGAGGGCAGAGGCAGGGATCGGAGGAGCACGGGGAGGGAGGAGGAGGAGAACTGAGAACGAGGGGCGCACCACAGGATGGTGGGGAAAAATCAAGACGTCGCATGTTTGGTCGGTACTTGTAATTACTTGCCAGCTCGCGTGGGTTCCTTGTGCCAACACCAGCGGGACAGACTCTGCTGGTTTGCGCACGCGCGAGCTGTTTCCCCCCCTCCGTCCTCTCCTCCATCCCTTCCCCTCGAATGCCGCTGTGCGTTGTTGGATTATATAGGTGGCCGTTTGGGTCGCGCCTTTGCCCCTTCCCTTCCTCCTCATTCTCCTCCTCCTCCTTTTTCTTCACTCTATCTTTCGTTCACATTAGCGGGCCGAATTTCGTAACGTTTTCGTTGCGTGTTGCCGTCTTAGACGTTGGGCAACGACGCGCTTCGCTATGATACGACTTAAGGCCATTATTGTATCATGATGCCCTCCTGCTCGACTCCAGGGCCAGTGCAGGTGTTCGCCTCGTCAGCCCCTCTCCAGCGGACAACGCCACTCGGCCACGCAGACGGGACACACTCGGCTCTGTTCCTTCGCGCTTCATTCCCCTCTCGTTCCCCATCTCTTCTCCCCAAATCACGACGAACAAACACATGTGAACGGTCTCCGAGGACCTACACCCCGGTGAACGGCCTTCCGATCACCACCCGCGAGGTGCCCGAGATCGAGGGCAAGCGGACAGGCACCGTGCGACTTGAGAGGAGGGGCATGGTGGGGGAGAGGAGGAGGAGGAGGAGGAGGAGGAGGAGGAAACGTGACAGGAGAAGGAGGAGAGGCAGGAGGAGTAATCATCCTGGTGGAGATCATCCTGGCGATTATGCGAACTGGCTAGACCTGTCGGGTCATTGCACATCTCGCGGTGTGGCTGCGCTCTGCTGTTTCGCACGATTTCTGGTCTTGCCGAAGCGTTTCCCGTCGCAACCGCTTTAAAAGAAGAGTAACGATGCAGCAGTCGCCTTGAGGGTAGAGATGTTCGCCGGTGCCTTGCGGCAGAACGCGGCCCCCGAGAAATGGGCCCCGCACCCATCCTCCCGTTCAGGGCCCTGGAAGCCAGTATTTTGCAAACTAGGCTGGTGCCAGGTCCATCGGGAGGGATCGAAGAACGCAGAGTGTTTCGAGAGCCACGGCTGCAGCTCCCAGGATGCGCCGACGTCCTGGCTCACCGGAAGCCCCCACCCCCTGCGGGGCCCCGACTCAACGTGCGCAGGTCGAGGCCGATCGAGGCCGACCGTCTGAGACCAGCTGGCCCCCCAGACCCCCGACGTCATGGTGTCTTCCTCGCGTCGACCCCTGCAGGTCTCGACCCCTCCCCTTGGACTGGTTCTGCACCCCGAGTCGTTTTGTCGACGGTCCCGAGCGCCGGCAAGGGCCCCCAGAGGCAGAAAAGAGGGAGAAGCCTCCCGTCGTGATATCTTCCTTGCCCGAGGGGGTCTGGGCCCGCAGCTCCTCTCGGGGAAGGCCCCGCTGCGCCGGCTCCTGCGGCACACGCGTGGGCAGCGCGTGCCAGGGATCGCGCGTTTTTCACGGCCCGGGAGCTCTTCTGGACGGCGTGCCGCTCCGCCGCCCCTGGCCCACCACGCTGCGGCGCGACACGCTGGGGAATGGCGGAGGAGGACGGAGGAGGAGGAGGGAGGAGGAGGAGGAGGAGGAGGAGGAGGAGGAGTAAGGAGGGAGGGAGGGAGGGAGGGAGCGAGGGAGCGAGGGAGGGAGCGAGGGAGCGAGGGAGCGAGGGAGGGAGCGAGGGAGGAGGAGGAGGAGGAGGAGGAGGAGGAGGAGGAGGAGAAGGAGGAGGAGGAGGAAAAGGAGGAGGAGGAGGAGGAGGAGAAGGAGGAGGAGGAGGAGGAGGAGGAGAGGGCGTCCCGAGCATGTCCCAGCCTCCCCTCCCGCGAGGCGGAGAGGCACGCTGTCCGTTCGCTTAGCGCCTACCGTGTCGCAGTGGGCCGCCGCTGCGACACACTGTGCAGGAGCTCTCGTCCGCAGATGCGCGCGCGTGCAGGAGCGCTCCCAGACCCCCTCGGGCAACGAAAAACTCAAGACGGAGAGGCTTTTCCTTCTTTTCGGCCTCCGAGGGCCCTTGCCGGGCTTCGGGACCCTCAAGGAACGACTCGGAATGAAAAACGGGTCCCGGGGAAAGGGTCGGGACCAGGGGTCGACTCTCTGAGAAAAGTGATGACGTCGGGGTCCTGGGCTGCGAGCGGCCCGCGGCGGCGGATGCCGCCCGCGCCTCGTGCGGCGAGGGCGCAGGCCGTCCCAGCGAGAGGGGGGACGGCTTCCGGAGGCAGGCTGCTTCTCAGGAGGCGCCGGCCCTGCGTCTACAAGCAGGGCCCGCGCCTCCCGAGAAGCGGCCTCTTGCCAAGAAGCCTCGCCCCCCATCTCCCTGCAGTGGGGGCCCATGCCAAGGAACACCCTGCTTGCCTCCAGGGTGCCCTCGGTTTCGCGGGGTTCGATGGCTCCGCGAGGGAAAGCGCGACGTCCCCACGCCCAGCAAAAATCGATGGACGCCCTTGGGTCTCGGGGCCAGGCTTCCTGCGGGAGGTGTCCCGTGGTAGGGCCCCCACTGTGCCACTGTATTACCCTCCCTGCTTGCGCCGCCGAGTGTCTTGAGCACGCGGGCGCCGGCGGGAAGGCCTGTCGCGCGGGGCCCCTCGCGGCGAGCGCCGCCCTCGGCCGGGCGCCCCGGGCCCCCAGAGCCTCGCGGGCTTCCCGTGCCCGCCGCGCTCGGACAGGGCGCCTGGGCGCCGTGTGGCTTCCCGCGGGCGCGCGGTGCGCAGTTTGGTGCGCCACGTCGAGGAGCAGGAGGGCGGAGGATCGGGGAAGAAGGACGGAGGGCGGGAAGGTCAGCGAGGAGATGGAAGTGGAGAGTGGTGGTGGTGGTGGTGGTGGTGGTGGTGGTGGTGGAGGAGGAGGAGGAGGAGGAGGAGGAGGAGGAGGAGGAGGAGGAGAACGAGGCCTTATTTGTTTTTTTGTGCACAACGAGCTCCGATGTCAGTCGCCGCACAACGCGTCGACGATCGCCGCCGCCCTCATGTTGGCGCGCCATCAGGTAACGCGGCCCTCCACTCGGTGATGGAAGACTCTCGGCGCGCTCTGGGTACGCTTGGGAAGGAGGAGAACGATGAGGCGCGCGCGGAGCATATCGACGGGTCTGATCGTTTTCGGGCTTCTCTTGCGTACGGGCCCAGCCTGCACGGTTCCTGTCGGCAAAGAAAGTGCCACGCCGTCTCACGCGTACCTTCTTGCGGATGCCTCCGTCTCGCTGATACGTTACATATCATGTTGAAGCCGCTCGGCCGAGGAATAAGACGGTAAAGCGGTCGGCCATGGACGGGTCATGCATCCCGCTTGCCCGAATTCCAGTAGATATGCACCTTATGCCCTCGGTGTATATATCTGGTGATAACAGAGAATGCGTCGAGGCGTCCTTCTCTTAGAGGCAGGTATACTGATTCACACGCACCACGTGGTACGGTAGACAGTCCAAGGGCTTAAGAAGTTATTGTAAGTTCGGTGGCAGTCACATTGGAATGAAGGCGTGCACTTAGTGAATACGCGCCGCTCGCAGTGGTCGAGACGATGTTCTTGATCGTGGTTCTCTCCACGACCTTCGCACCGTCTCCGTGTGCAAAGCGCTCGCGTTCCATTGCCCTTCTCAATCGTCATCGCACGCACCGTTTCGCATGCAAGCTCACGTGTGCTGCTTCACGTCGAGACTATTTGTGTGCATGGTTGGGGTGAATTTGTGTGTGTGTGCGTGTGTGTAGGCAGCGGGGGACACACTCCATTCCTCGACCTTGTCGTTCGTCCGTTTGATTCCTTGACGCCGCCTTGCGACGACCACTGTTCGAATCTGGCCTTCATCCTCGACATCTTCTTCGTTCTCTCACTCACTATGCATCCCTCTCTCCGTCTCTGACTCTACCACTGTCCCGGCTATGTCTGCACCCATCACTCTGTGTTCGTCAGTGCATCACACCTTGTGTTCCCTGAGGTAAGCGGCTGAACCCTGGCGACACGTTCAGAGTGGCAGAGGAGAAGAAGGCCTCGGACGAGCTCGGGGGGACTGCGAAGGTGTTGGATTATAGTTTGCCACAGGCGTTGAGACCCTTCGCATCCGAGGGTGACACAGGGGCCACCCAACAGTCGAACTGCTCGCCGTGAAGACTTCGGCGTGTGGTCCGGTAGGTTATGTCGGCTTCGTCCCTCCTTTATATATATATATATATATATATATATATATTGTCTTTCGTAGGAGGACCAGTATTGCTGATCTATGGAGACAGTTCCCCGGTGCCATTTTCTTTGGAAGCGAAGCTCCTGCCCGAGCGCGGGTTGGGGTCCCATTCCTGGCTCTTGAAGGCCCAACTACGACGACACCGGTTTCCGCTTTACACCTCCTTGCAAGGCCATCCGAGACGCTTCGGCCACATAGGCCCCCGAACTCAGGAGTGGCGCTCTCGCCCTTGGACGTTGTCGCAGTTCAGTGAAGTTGGCGAGCCCGACAGCGGCTCCCACTCAGAAAACCCTCACACATTACATTGAGACGCCCTGGCCAGAGAGGTCCCCAAACTCAGGAATGCCGCTTTCGCATGGGACTCCTCGCAATTCAGTCGAGTTGGCGAAGGCCCAACTACGACGACAACGACTCTCGCTCGATACTTCCTCACAAAGTATTGCGAGACGCACTGGCCAGACAGGCCCACAAATCCAGGAATGGCGCTCTCGCCCGATGATACATTCTCGCGATTCAGTCAAGTTGGCGAAGGCCCCACTATGACGACAACGGTTCCCGATCGATACGCCCTCACAGCGTATTCCGAGACGCATTTGCCACAGAAGCCCCCAAGTTCGCGCAATTCAGTCAAGTTGGCGAAGGTCCAACCACGACGACAACGACAACGGTTCCCGCTCGACACCTCCTGCCAATTTGCTAACACGCACGCCCTGGTCGGATGCTTTCGCACACTCAGGAAGGCCCTGTACGTAGAGTGCTTCCCACAGGAGGTGATAAAAGAAGCCCCGAACAAAAGGAGCTGGCTCATGAGCGTGGAGGGCGGGTACAAGGGAGGGAGGAAACAAGCGATGGAAGACAGCCTGCTACAGCTTGTTCAAGCACATGTTGACAAAATGGTCGTCGTCGTTGTCGTTGTAGTCGTCGTTCCTTCTGCCACGCCACATGGGAACACGCAGCGGCAAGGCAAGCTGTGTGGCGCGAGCGTTTCAGTGCAGCCCACTTTTCGCAAGCTATGTGCGATGCAGGCGACGTGGTGCCATCTACGTGGGCAAGCCGTGTGGCGCAAGTTACAGCGGACCCCACGTGGGCGCCCACTGCCGGCCACCAGGCGAAAACCTCGGGGGACCCAGCCAGCGCACGAGGCGCCCACGGGTGGCAGCACCAGGCAACACCTCGGCGGGGTCAAGCCAGCGCGCGGGGCGCCCACCAGGGGGGCCCCCATGCGGAACTCCCGGCGGGCCCAGCCATTTACGGTGCCGAGCAAGAATTCCTAAGCGCAAGTTCGGTTTGGGGCATATCGATAGATGTGTTATCTGTTCCTCTCTGTCCTCTCGCTGCGGCACCTCCCCCTCCGTTCGCTGCGTCATCCCCCTCGTCGTCGTTGTTGCCGTCGTTTCCGTTTCTGTCTTATTTTTCATTGTGTAACAGCAGTGTAGCGGGTTGTGTTTCATGGACGGTCGTTTCACCGTTTTGGCCAGGCGCCTTTGACGTGCAAGGCCTCTGCCTCTCTCGCTCTCTCTCTCTCTTTTCTTTCTCTCTCTCTCTATCCTTCTTGCTGTCTATAAAGGGATGTGCATGTCTGTCTGTCCGTACAGACATACGTATATAGCATGCATGCTGCTATGCATAGATATGTCATACATGTAGACGCATACGTGTACATATACATGAACATGTTGTATAGTCTGATTGGTTGTAGACTGCAGGTTAAGTGGGAGGGGGTGTGGGCTCAGGTAGCCATTTTGGGTCCGTAGCGTTCGGCTCTGGCCGACGCGCGGGTGTTCCAGGGGGCCGCGGGGCGGCCATAACCACAGCCGTGCTAGTCCGCGGACTAGGTAGCGCGCCTGTGGTGCCATGGCTGTGGGCTTCCTGGGGGCGCACCTGATGATCTTGGTTACGGGCGGCGCTCTTACGGTCCAAGGGGCACTTGGCTGGCTGCCATTCGGGCGCGGGGGACATGAGGTCCCAGCGCCGACGCCGCCAGCCCTGCCCGGGCCGACAGCGCCGCCGGCAGGCGGTGGGGGGCGAGGCAAGGGGCGAGGACCGCCCGCCAAGCCCGCGCCTGCAGGGGGAAAGGGGCGAGGGCCGCAGGCCAAGCCCCCGGGGACGCCGGGCGTCCCACCGCCGCCGCGGTCAGGGTCGACTACAACGACCACGACCGCGGGCATCGGGCGCGTAGGCGAGGGCGAGCCCACAGGCAGCCCAGCTACGCCGGCATACGGAGGTAACAACGAGCCCACGGGCGCGCCTGGGCAGCCGTCCGCCCCGGGAAACCGGACGGGCGATGGTGAGCCTGACCTGCCGCGTGGGCCGGACGGGTATTGGGGGTGGAGTGGTTGGGTCCCGCACCTGCCCCATTGGTGGGCTGGCCGGAGCGAACCCCCACCGCCGCCGCCGCCACCTACACCGCCCCCGGAGGCAGGGCCGGGTCCCGGTTGGGGCTTCGCAGCCTGGGTCTTCGAGGTCGTGGGCTATGGAGCGTGGGTAAGCTCCCCCGACCACCCGGGCACGATCCGCACGAGTGGCGGATGGTTTGGATCCGCCGTCGACCGCCTGGGCGTCAAGATGCTTGGGTATTGGTGGGAGACCGCGGTCTTATGCTTTGCCCTAGGCATCTTCACGTTCGTGTTGGGTGCCCTGGCCTTCATCGTCAACACCGCAGCCCAGCCTATGCTGTGGGCTGCCGGGGGACTCCGCTGGGCGTGGTACCAGATTACCCGGTGCTGCCAGCGACGCGGAGGGGATGGGCCGGCGCCCATCTTCCCCCACCCCCTCCGACCCCCTTGCTGGTGCGCTGGCGCGGGCCGGGCTTGGGCGGCGTGGTGGAGACAGAGTTCTACACAAAGGGGGTCCGCGGCCGAGGGACCAATCGGGCGTACAACCACGTGCTGCTGCGTAAGCACGGGCAGGTGGCCCGCATCAGCTGCAACTTCGCGGACCGGTACCGATTGGACCGCCACGGGCTCAACATCAAGATCGGGCAGGTCCTGGGGTGCACCAGTCGCAAGTGGCGGCTGAACCTCGAGGAGACAGGGAATGTGCATCTATGTCGTGCTGTCGAGTGCGCCTCCTGTCCAGTGGCGCATCCCATGCACGTCGACCAGTACGCGGCCATTGACCACACACAGATCGTGGACTTGGCTGAGCACGGAAGGGCCACGGCCTGCCGAGCAGTCGGCGTGGGACTCCGGAAGGTATTCGGGGTCGTCAAGTGGCTGCTTTGCTCACCCTGGTCGGTACTCGGATGGCTGTGCCGGGGCCGGCCGGAGCCCCGCTACATCACCGACGCCACGGGCTATCGCCGCCTGGACATCGACTCGGAGAGCGAGGTGGAGGCGGAGGAGCGCCCCTGCCAAGCCGCACAAGTTGGGGTGCAGCTCGCGGGTGGCGCACGCCCCCTCCAGCCGGAGGGGTGCGGCGACCGAGGGATGCAGGAGGCCACTGTCCTGCTACAGGAGGACGCGGAGGTGTCGGACGTTCCTCGGCCTGGGCATTGTCTCAATGCACAGGTGCACCTCTGCGCCCACCATGCGCAGAAGTATCGGTCTACCCTGATCGGCCGCAAGTGCAGCCTCCCCACTTGTCTCCGCATGGCGAAGGGTAGCTGCGGGGGGGCCCCGATGTGCGGGGAACATCTCCGACGGGACGAGGGTCACACCGTGCGCGTCGAGGCGACGGTCCAACCTGGGATCCTCGGGGGCCTGCGCCGCCGCATGCGGGCGCGGGCTCCAAGCCCCGCCAGGGTGCGCGATTGGACCGCGCACGCTGCCGATGGGGTTGGCATTGCGGCCGAGCCGGTCTACCCCCCGCCTCTACCTCCCCCCGCTGCACCGCCACCGCCCGCCGTGGCCCCATCTGTCGATGTGGAGCCCACGGGGGCGCAGGCCCTAACCTCGGGGCCGCAGCCGCGTCGCACACGCTCCGCGGAAGCTAGGGCCAGCGGACGCTCACGGTCTGCCGACCGCGGGGCCCCGGGCGATCGGATCGCCCACCACGGGTGGCTTCAGGAGCCCCTACTCGTGAAGGTCTGCCCGATACTCCCGGGCGACCCTCGGGGAGCCGAGGAGGCGTACGGCGCGCCCCCGGCGAGTCCTTGGTTTATTCTATTGGGGGAATGCGAGGGGCTCGACGCACGGGGCACTGGCGGGGACGCCAGACTTATCATCGGGACTAGCCTCGAGGGCGTCAGGGTGGAGGTCCCAGCCAGCGAGGTCGTACGGCACCCCCCCCGCTGGAGGACGGGCGCTACCCGATAGATTGGATCAATCGGCTGCTGTACGAGGTCCCCCAAGGGGCTCGGGAAGTGGGGTTGCGTGTCATCGCCCACCACATCCCGCAGGATCTGCTGGCGATGTTACGCCAGGAGCAGTGGGACGGTGTGGACGTGGAAAGCGCGAGCGGCTGGAGGCGGCGCTACCTGACGAACACGGAGCGCCAGCAGCTGCAGCACGACCCTGTACGCACACTCGGCCACCATCGGCGGGGTGGCGCGCAGGGGGCGCCGCCTGCGCCCGGGATGGAGGGCTTGCCCCGCCCCGCCCCCGTGGCGGCACTGTCGCGCTTAGCGGCGGCCGCCGCCGGCGTGAGCGAGGACGCCGAGGAGCCCGACCCGCTCGAAATGTTCATGGACTCCTTGCGAGCCGAGGATCTCAAAGGACGGGGGGGCCAAGCGGCGGCTCTCAGTGCATTAGGTATGGCCGCGGACCTGCTCGGGGTTCCGCTTGATCAGGCGGAGCGGCAGCTGCGGCGGAGGGTCGCACAGGTGGCAGCGGCGGGCCCACTGGGGTCCGACCTAGAGCGCGCCCTCGCGGATCTGGAGGATGCGCAGCTGGAAGCGCGCGCGCGGGAGCGTGCTGCGGCC